AAAAGGACATCGAGTTCTCGGAAAAAATTTGGTTTAAAGGGTACATGGGATCTTGGACCTATGATTTTCAGCAAAAAGCGAAATAGTCTACATGTACCACAAAACTCCATGAGCCCTTGGAACCAATGTGCCCTAAGAACTAGATATACCCTTTTTCGATATACCCTTGAATGCTGGACCCATCTATCATCACAGTTTGAACTCTCCCTATTCTTCGCATCTCAGAATCCGAAACCCGGCGATTTGCACTTTAACCGATTCCTAATTTCTGTCATGTTATCTTTTCTCCCTTTTCAATTGTTTGACTTGTTCAATATTCGTCTAAATCATAAAAGTGGAACATCCTACTTGTACGGGGTCAGTAGTGCGCGCGCATGACGGTCTCAAGGTTACCACTGCCAGGTACATCGGGAGAGAGACACAGTTTTCCGATTTCCGTCTCCGTCCCGAAGAGTGGGATAAAGTGAGAGATAGAGAGGAACATACCCGCATCAACCATTGCCTCCCACGAAGCTTCAAGTAGAATCCGAACTTGTGGATCCATGAAATTTGCTTGTTTTGGTGTAACTGAAAAGAAGCCCGCATCAAATTTCTTCAATTCCTTCAGTTTTCCGTGTCGTTTTGGAAGATCATAGAAGCCTGGAGGCCATCTGAGATCGTCTTCGGTTACCAAGTCTTCTCCGGCAAGAAGCAAATCTCCGAACTCTTTTACGTTATCGCATCTGAAAAGGAATTTTCTGGAATTTTAGGAATCTTAAAAATCAAGGTATACCTTGGAAATCGGCCCGAGACTCCCGAGATAACGATATCGTCCTGCTTCTGCCACCAGTTAGTTGATTCCATGTTGTCCGAAGACTGAAAATACTCAGTTTAGGGGTGATTTTTGGGGAATTCGGAGTTCTTAGAAGGTGAAGAACGTTGGGAACGTATTGATTGTCTCCTCTAACTATATACAGAAAACATTCTTGGATGAGGCGTGTACTCGGAAAAACGACAAAGGGAAGAGGTAAACGAAGAATGAGAAGAAGAATAAGAAGGCGTCGGGCCGACCGGACGAAGACATTTAAGAAAAGAAGAAGAAGAGAAGCGAAGACGATGCGGATGCGAGCGCGCGGTAGAGATGGTAAAAGATAAAAAAGAAGAAGGGACGAGAACCGTCTCGAGATGATGGCGACCGATCCTTTTTCTTGCCTATTAGGTTCTACGACACCGCGACAACCAACCTTTTCTAATTTTAGGACATGTCAGAAAAGAAGAAGAAGACGTGGGTAGGAGGAGGTGGAATCTAAATGCAAGATTCTCTGATTACGGTGGCAGTAAAAGACAGAGGCTAGTGCAAACTTGAAGTGGTACATCCTACTGCTAAAGAGCAATTAGACTTTTGAGTGAATCAGAAAAACAATTTGGTGATCATCTAAATGGAAAAAAAGAAAACTGGCTAAACATCTGATTCATGGACGACCCTTTGACGAAGAATCCAGGAGCATATGTCTCTGATGATCCTTGGGAACATCGCGCCATTTGTTGTTTGCCATCTTTTAAAGTTTTTCCTCTTCTTATATATCCTCCTTTTAAAATCATCATATGACTAGAATCATCATATGAATATGAGTTATCTGAGAAATCCAGAATTGCGAAAAGGATGACAATACACACTGAATACCGGATTCCTTCTTTCCATCTTTGTTATCAAGAAAAATCGGCTATGCCCATTAAGATAGAATCGGGTGATCCAAAAAGTCGAGACCCGTGTCATTTCAAACGGAAAAAACGGAGAGAGGAGAACTCGGAGAAAGGTCGAGATGAGGTGAAAAGATTATCGATAGGGAGAGGGATGGATCCTTTTTGCAGATGATGATGCCCCCGTCCCTGAGTTGTCGTCC